TCTCCCGGTTGTCTTCGGAATACTCCCATTCACACGACGTACTGATATAAAAGCAAAAGTAATGTCTTCGAAACCATCCTCTCTTCCGCACACAGTCTATAATTCCATATTCTCCCACCTCACCACCGCGGACCTAGTCTCTGCCTCCCGGGTAAATCACCGTTGGCATCTTTCCTCTTTGCCCCTTCTCTATGCCCATCTTTATCTCACCTCATCAACCCAGATTTCCCTGTTACACAAATACTTTTTGATTCCCCGTTATTCACAGCTAATTCGCAACATAACACTTTGCCGAATCAACCTCACCTTCCAATATAAACTAACTCTGGCAAACGAATGCCGAAATTTGAATTCGATCGCGTTTATAAAGTGCAAAAATCTAGATCCCAAATTTTTAAAGGATTTAGCGAGAGCCAATACACTTTCTCTTGAGAAGTTTTGCATTTGGGGTGACTGCGTACCTGGAAATAATTCTGTCGACAAAACTACAAGCACAGAAATAACCGATGATCTGTTGACACCGATGTTAGAATTTTGTGGAAATCTCCGAGAACTCAGAGTTTGTGGTGCCGAGATAACCGATGACTTTTTGACCAGCCTAGCGTCCACCATGAACGATCAAGTATCTTCCCCTTCGTCATCAACTGGCGATGAAACGTCGAGTTCCACTTACATGGAAAATTATATAGCGAGCATTGAAGATCCTACTTGCAACGATTCTTCTTCAAGCTCAACGTATTCAACAAGCAGCAGGAATTCAACTGGTAACACCGAAACCACCAAACCCTCAACAATGCCGTCGATATGTGGTGCGTGTACCGGTCATAATCATAATTTTCAGACAAAATCCGATAATCAGGATAATACCCGCGGTTCAATGTTTCTCGATATTTCGCAAGATGCATTATCTATGGATGACGTCACATCATACACACACATTACCTGCCCTCATCTAACAACCCTAGATCTCACTGAATGTTTTAACCTGACCGCTTTTGGTGTAGCCGAATTATTCTCTCCGCAGCAGCTACCAAAGTTTCAAGTTCTCATTCTTCAATATAATCCTAGGAACGACATTGATCTAGAATTTTTCGAATTCTTGGCGGATAATTTCAAATCTCACGTGTTCATAGTGAACGTGATAAATTCTAACAAGCTCAACGGAAAGAACAAGGCATTACAGACGTTTGCAAGAATAAATAAGAATTTGGACATCTTAGTCAAAAAGAAGAACAATGTACGGGTAGTTAAACGAGAACAAATGACGACGGACGATGAGATATTGAAGATTTTTGGAAAGTATAGCGAAATAATTGACAGAAGCAGTCGACGGGCATTGTGATCTCAAATATATATATTCGAGAATT